ACATTGTTTACCATCCAAAAGATTGGGATGATGCTGAAACCAAAAAGGCTTCATATGATTTGAAAGCAAGGAACATACTTATTTTTGCTTTAAGCGCTAAAGTGTTCTACTCAGTTTCACATCATATGAGTGCTAAAGATATTTGGGATGCTCTCCAAACTCTTTATGATGGAATAAATTATGTCAAGGATTCTAAAATCTATATATTTACAAAGGTGTTTGAATTATTTCCATGGAATTCGGAGAATCTGTGGATTCCATGCAAACTAGATTCATCCGTTTACTCAGCAAACTAAGTAATTTGGGTAAAACCTTTTCTAACAAAGAATGTAATAACAAAATATTGAGATCTACGTACAGGGAGTGGAAACAAAAGGTCACTTTTATAAAAGAATCAAATTATCTTTGTAATTTTGATATTACAAAACTGTTTCGAGTGTTAGTCGAACATGAGAATGAGCTGAAATGACTCACCAATAATGAAGTAAGGTCGAAAAAGAAAGAGAATACGAGATATTTCTTTGAATGCTTCATCATCAAAAGTGAAAAGGTCAAAGGAAGAAAGTAACAAATCTGATGAAAAAGCTTCCAAAAAGGAAGATATGGGTTTATTCTTTAAACGTTACAATATATATATCTAAACAGAAACAAGCTCAAGCATATCGATAAAGGCCTGGTGAATTTTAGAAATACTCATCCACTGAAGAAAGATCATTAGAAAAATGACGATGATATCACGTGTTACGAGTGTATACATTAGGGATATTATAGAACCACATGTCCAAGTCTTACCAAATATCATAAAAGTAAAGAAAATGATTTCTACAATATGAAGGGAAAGAGTTCGAAAGGTCATATAGCCTACATCACATGGGAAGAAGAGGATGAAATTTCCTCCTCCAATTCTTGTTCGATTTCAGATGATGAGTGTGCCAACTTTTGTTTGTTGGCACATAAGAAAGGTGAAACTTCAAAGGTATATAATTCTGATTTCGATAAGGAGTATTCTTATAATGAACTGTCGAATGTATTCAATGATATGTGTGTGGATTCTATAAAAGCGTTTAAAAAAAAATTTCTCCAAAAAGAAATGATTTTAAAAATTGAAGAGGAGATAAATCATCTTAATTGTGCTTTAGAATCTCTTAAGGAAGCACATACATCTCTAATGGATGAGCATTGTAATGTTTTAGATACTTTATTTGAAAAGATAGAAGTTGTGGAATGTGTTGAGTGTCCAATTTAAAAACTTGAAATTGAAACTATTAAGGGATAACTAATACATTATACTTTACTATCTTGCACTTTTTTTCTAGTTCTCCGAGTGAAAGAGGGGATATTTTTAGGAAAACCCTCATGTCACTAAAAGAAATAGAAGATGCATTTCATCTAAAGCTATTTTCCACTATTGTGGTGATAAGGGTCACATTAGGCTTCTTTATCATGTTAGGAACATTCAATTCCCAATGGTAAAATGACATGGATTCCTAAATGTAACTCAACTAACCCCAAAAGACCCAACTAAAATTGAGTACCTAGTTCTATCTAATGATGTTTTGTACAGGAGTGTCTGGGAATATTTATGGATTCTCAAAACAAGTGAAGAAAGATGTATCCAATTATATTTTTTTGATTTTATTATATTCTTTTTGTTGTATTAGTGTTGTTATTTGCTAATGATACTTGTGCAAAAATTTTAGTCCAAGATCATCATAATTGGTACGATCATTTCATTCTCTTTTATCTTTGTATAATTGCACTAAATTTTCTTTAATTATTTTCATTGCATCATAGTCATTCAACTATTTTTCATTTGCATCAAAATTATTTCTCTTTTGCATCGAAACTACTTTTCATCTACATCAAAGAAATGTTTTAGTTGCATTAAAATCTTTTTAATTAAATTTACCTTGCATTAAGCATTTTTGATTTAGAAAAATCTACTCATGTTGCATTTGATGATTCCTCATCTCAAAAGACAGCGAAAGGCATTTGTTCTGATATTTTAGGTTGATAACAGAGAAGTTGATCGATGACGAAGGTTCTGTCGTACCTTGAAAAAGCACGATCCTTCGCGAATGGTCGCAAAAAACAGAGTCGCCATCGAACTTTATTCATTCCAAGATGGAATAGGAAAATATCGAGAAAACCTTTAGGGAAAGAACATGGTCATCGCAACCAAGTTCTAGGTTCGGGAGTCGGTTACATGAGGGGAAGGTATTAGAACCTCTCACGTCTGTTGTACTCAACGGGAACCTCTTGATTCGATTCGTAAGAAATGTTAGCTTAGCTTGTTTGTTTTCTTCCTAGATAAAAGGTGTAAAGGTAATGTAAAAGGGTTTAGACTGCTGAGGAGAAATGGGTGGTTTTAGATAAGGGTGCTCGCCAAGGATCGGGGCCCTTGTGCCTACGTATTTTCACTCGAAAAAAGTGAAGAATCAGAGCGTCCGTAGTTCGTGGGACTACGGGAAAAAGTTTGGGAATTGTGATTGAAAGATGAAAGGAAATGTGGAAATGTGGGGAAAAGTGCTCGCCAATGGGAAACCATTGAAGAGTGCACGTAGGCTAAGCGATGACGAACACCGAAGCACTATAAATCTCAGTGTCTTCTCTCTCTATCTCTTACTCTTGTATTTAATTTTATAGTATTTACATGCTTATGTATTTCCATTTTAGCTTAGTTTATCGTTGATTCAATTGATATCAATTATTCCATAAGAATTAGGTTTTTGTTAGAATTGGATACCTTATTGAGCTAAATTGGTGATTAATATTTAGAGAAACAATTGAGGTTAGAATTCTCTATATTGAATAATTGTAAGAACATACCTAGTGGATTATATAATTGAATCAGTTGAATACCTTGTGTTTCATCATATTCATATTTTGTGTTTGTGAAATGATTTATTATTAACGTGATCAAAATTTAGAATTGTATACATTTTATTCATTTGCATCAAATCTTCTGCTTGCAAATTTTGAAAACTCTCTGATAACTTTTCTTAAAAGTGGTTGATTTTTATTAGATTTTGTTCACCCCTCTAGACGATTTTTCTACTCCCATATTCACAACCAATAGTTCAATTATGTATATTGTATTGTTTATTTTTGGTATTTATATTCTATTTAATTTATGTGTTCTTAATTATTTGAATTTTAGTTTAGTATTATGTTCTATTACTTTAATTTTGGTTTGAATGAATTTATCTTATTTTATTGAGTTCTTTAATTTGTTCAAAATGTTCTTAAATGAAGGTTGAAATCAAGCGTACAACTATGCTGAGTTATTATTTGTACTATTGATCTTGTTGTATTAAGTTTGTAATAGATTTTTGAAATATTTATTCTATTAAATTGTAAACATATGATTGTGTATGATATATCTATGAAATTTAGTTTCATATTATAAATATATTTAATAAACTGTTCGATAGTAGATTTAAGCGGCTGAACCAATTAAACCTTAAACCAAAAGTTTCATTAGTTCAACCTTCGGTCTAGCGTTTAAAACATTAATTTTCTATGTGGTACACTTTAAAATTCTTTTTTCACTTTTCAAAAAGAAAAAACACATTTCTATTTTCTTTGAAAGATTGTGGGTTCGAACCCTGACAGTGACATAAATGAATTATTTTCATAAATTTTTAGGAATATTATTTGAATTTTTCTTGCAATTATTTCTTTCTTATAAAACTAAAATAATTATATACTAATTTATGTATCAACTATGATATTAATTTGTATGCACTATCAGTCTAAATTTCTTTACAAATTAGAGTATCACAACCATTTATAAATGTTACTCTATAGAAGATTAAAATAAAAATTAAACTTCAATAAAAATTTAACGGTCACGATTCACGGATAATGTAAAATTTCTTTACATTGTCGAGGCATTCTGATCAAATTCATCAACTATTCACAAGATGTTTCATTAAAATCACAAGTTCCTATTGATTTGAATCAATTGAAAAATGAGTGAAAATTCTATTTTTATTTTATTTTGCTTCACTTGTTCATTTGATTCAAAACATGAAATGCTCTTGATTTAAAACTAACTAACTTTTTCAACCATTTTCAATGCTTAATATCAAGTACATATATAACCTTTTTGTTATCGTTTCTCAAGTAAAGAATCATAATGAGTATCATAATTAACAATGTGATTCTATGGCAAATCAATTTCGTTTGTTTTGAATGTTCAAAGTTCTTACAATGAAATTCTTGCATCTTCAACTTCAATTTAATTTATATCTTGATAATGAGAGATTTGTAGTCAATTGAAGGAGGCGCGTTCTTGAAACTAATCGTTCTTGAAGATTTGGTTGAGATTTTCAAGTTGTTTCCAAGATTGTGGTGATTGCAAATGGTAATGACAAATTCCATTTAAAAGAAGTAGTTTTTCTTTAATTAAATGCCTTGGTAGTGACTGTGAGGAAGGCTACAGCTAAGGCGAAGTTCTTCTCAAATCTTCGTACAATTCATCGCTCAAAAAACTCAATAAGATCAAAAAACTCGATAAGATCAAGAGATTGATTTCTACACACAAATGGTTTATTTCCATCACCATCTACAGTTGGCCAATTTTCTTACTCAAGAACCTTGAGAGATGTTTCGAGAATTTTGGTTGGAATGGTGACTTGAATAATAAGAAATTAGTTATAGTCTCTTGTAGGTGTTTTCATTGAACTGATGGATCTGGTTGGTTAAGAACAAGAATAAAAAAATATTTATTTTAAAATATAAACACATATTAAATCAAATTTTGCAATTAGGATAAAAAATAATTATTATTTAACTATGTAGAGTTGAATAAAATTATAACTCTCGTAAGTTTCCAATTATTTAATTTAAGAAATGCAAATTCAATTTTTGTAAGCATATACTTACAAAATCATAGATTTTCAAACAAAGTGATAGAAACTTATAAAATTTATTCGTCAAATTACATCACTAGCATCATAACGAAAACCCCTTAAAATCTACATTTTGTTTATGTATTAGCCAATTGCAGGAACTCTAACAACCTTGTTAGATTCATCAACATACAATCTAACTCTCTGGATTCTATAATCAGCTGTAACAAATGAATCATGTGGCACCACTTGAATTTCAGCCCCAGGCATCTCTTCTTTTATTTTCCTCTCTGCTTCTTCTGCAGTGACACCAACTAGTTCAGGCCAACTTGTTTTTGGAGGGTTGTTTGTCCCTAAAAGTTGGTTATAAGTCCCTGCAACACCAAACATTTTCTTGTGCATAAAAGACAGACACTGACACTAACACAGACACTTGTGATGACTGTGCTTCAGAGTTTTGATCAATAATGATTAATTTTGTTTATAAATAAAAAAGGAGATTGAAATAAAGGAAAAGACAGCAAAATTAGAACTTACTTGGCAAGGGTTCATTTGTATGCTCCTGAGGAGGATTAGTTCCATGTCCTTGTTTTTCATCTGCCATCAATACCAAACTATAGAGAACTTTGAAGAAAAAAGAGATCTTTAGGTGATCTATGAACTGGATGAAATGAAAGTTATCTCATAAGAATGATGTACTTTGAAATTTATAGACAAATTAAGTTGATTCCAAAACGGCACCTCTTTTGAACATTTTGCTAATGAGACAATTGAGCTGGTTTTTCCAATGCCATGTGCCTTGATTTGGTGCCTTGGTGGTGTCGCATAAGCTAACTTTGAAATAATAATAATAATAATAATAATAATAATAATAATAATAATAATAATAATAATAATAATAATAATAATAATAATGGTATTTGTAAATATTAATTTACCGTTTTTTTTTTCACCGCCAATTAATTAGGTTCAGATCAGTTTTGATATCAAAAAATTTCAATCTTCTTCGATCAAAGTTATGAGAATTAACTGTGGTTCTCCCATGGTTTAAAATTGTAGTTGTGGTTGTGATTATGAGTGTTGTGATTGTGGTTATTGCGATGCGCATTGTGGTCATTGTGGTGTGAATTTTTATAGAGATTTGTTTGAAATACAATATTGAAAAACACTTAATATTAAGTTTTTTTAATTACATATGAAGTAAATTGGGTTTTAGGATTCTAATATTTTGATTTTTGATGAAAATATTTGAGGATCGTGATTGAAACTGGTAGATGTGGTTCTAATAAAACCGGAGGCATAATTTTTAAATCACATCGCAATCGCGGTTCGATGCGATTGCGAACCGCAATTTAAAACCATCGTCCTCCCTGTTGAAGTTCAACCACAACTTATGGAGAATTACGCTCAATCTTAATCTCAAGATTATTATCAATCACACACTGACAATAAAAAAGGTTTAGAAAGAAAGAAAGAAAATAACGTTGGAGAAGAGGATTCATATTTTCTACAGAGTTTCTCTTTGCCCACAAGTAGTGATAACTTATTTATTCACTTGCAATTGCAAACTGTGAATACAATATTATGAGTTGTGTTGTTTACAAAATAAGGGCTATTCCCTATTTATTGGTTTAAGGCAAAACACAAAACTATAATAGACCAAAATAGCTAACATTACTAAAATATGCCTATAGTCGAAATCTTGTGTGAAGCAACCTGCTTTGACACTTCAACACACTAAGCAACTCAACACATACACACATTAAGGTAATTCGACTAGACCTTGTTTCTGTCGAGCTATACTACTTCGACACAAGGAATAACAAACTCAACGCACCACCTAATTTATTGTGTATAAGCTATCTACATTCATCATAGACCTTAACTTCTTGAACACTTCGACTTGCACTTCTTTTGTCATAATATCTGCATTCTGATTCTCATGTTCTGTAGTGTTTCAAATTCATCTTCCCTTCTGTTACCTGCTCTCGAAGATAATGGAACCTCATTTTAATATGCTTGCTTCGCCCATGTGCTATCAGATTCTTCGCCAAATTGATAGATGACATGCTATTGATCTTCATGGTAATTGCTCTATGACTCTTCGCTGTAATCTCTTCGACCAGGTTCACCATCCATGTTGCTTGACATTGTTGAAGCGGTAAAGCAGCAAGCAAACATATTAAGTACACAGTTTTATCGTCTCCATAGAGATCGGTGTGAGGGAAAGAATGTCATTCGACAATCTCCACGTCTCTAAGCTTGGGTTTGAATGGTTTGGAATAAAAATACCTTTATCATTTTAGTACTATCATACAAATCAACACAAATACAAGATTAAACATAATAAAACCGAGTTAAACAAGAATGTTGGTCTCCTGTATATAGTAAACAATGGAAAGCTCCTCACAAAAACGTTTTGTTCTAAAGTGACTCAAAACTGAACAAGTATGGCAAAAGAATGAATGACACGAAAATTGTACAAATGAAAAGTCTCATAATCATGCTATATTATAGAAAGCGATAAACGAGTACCTTGCGGAGTACCAACTTCAAAAAATATCAAAACCATACATTTTCAAGTTGAAACGATCAAACTTGGAAAATCACAAAATGTATCCTCAAGCTAATCAAAAACAAACTTGAGAACAAACATAAACATTATTATAACATCCTAACAAAATTGAATTAAAACTAACTAAACACAAAGACCAAAATAGGTAAAAATGGATGGAAAATGAGAGATTTGTCTTTGCAAAACAAGGTGCGCTAAACGACCTCTGCGCGCGCTAAGCGCGAACAGGAAAACTTTGATTTTCATATTCTTTTTCTCACACAATCCATCCATTTTCACTTTATATTAACTATACTACTAAATATAAAACTATACAAACTCAAAACTTGTTGGGTTGCCACCCAACAAGCGCTTGTTTCACGTCGTAAGCTCGGCTCCTTTATTTATGTTTATGCTCCTCTATGTTGCTTGGTTCACCGGGTACTACCAAATAAACTTGCACAACACTTGAGAAAACGTAAACCAAAAAAAAAAATATGCAATAACACATAAATATGATAGAAAACACACACATGCACACGCACACACACACACACACACAAACACACACACACACACACATACACACACACACACACACACACACACACACACACACATATATATTATATTTATATAATCACTTATGGAAAACAACTATAAACATGTATATACAAAGCTTAAAAACATATAAATTACCGCAATGTGATTCAATATCAAAACCAATCCCCGACAACGACGCCATTTTGTTGAAGTGGTAAAGCAGCAAGCAAACATATTAAGTACCCAGTTTTATTGTCTCCACAGGGATCGGTGCGAGGGATAGAATGCCATTTGACAATCTCCACGTCTCTAAACTTGGGTTTGAATGGTTTGAGATAAAAATGCAAAAGGAAAAACATAAAACAAGAAAATAAATACATTTTTAAGAAATGAGAAAACTCGTCAGGAGTTGTATTTCGTTCCACCCATCATGTACTAAAAATTATATGGATCAAATGCACGCAACCTAAATCGCTCGTCAATATCATCACTTATCGCTCACAACAGAGGTTATGTCTAATGCAAAATCGAGAGATCAATCGTATCGTCTCATCGATGATGTCTCACGCAACTCGACAACACGGAGCATTAAGAATCGATACCCACGTGAATATTAGTCATAAATCTATGTCTAGAGTTTAGAATCTAGCAGATGTTCATCTTAGATCGAGGTCGAATCGTATATGTCTATAGCAATTCAAACTCATTAAGTAAAAAATCAAGATAACAATCGATATAGAGTTGGAAAACTTATTCATTGCTCTATAAGACAATGACAAAATATCCTTGCTTGTATACCTAAAAAAATGAGAGAGAAACAATTAAACTCAATCATATTTATATGATACACAATATATACACTATAATGTAAACTATACAAAAAGTACATAAAAATGGGGGATTATTAACAAAAAACCAACGAATTAAGTCAATAAGTGTCAATTATTCACACTCGAAATCAATACAATTTAGCACTTATCAACTCTCCCCAACTTAAACTTGTTTATCCTCAAACAAGAATCGATCAACTCAAGGAAACAGAAGTAATAACCAAGCAATCACGTTCAACAAGCTTTGAAAAATAAAAACAAATATATGGTTCAACACAAAAACGTACAGGCAAAGCAAAACATACCACTAAACTACAATGATAACATGAAAATGAAACAACTTCTAAATAGAAAACACGTGTCAAAAATTCTAAGATAATACAATGTTCAAAAATGAATCACTCCTAGCACACACTTCGTCGATATATGAATAAATAAAAACATTAGGATCTTAATTCTCACCTAACAATCATGCTAACAACAAGTTAAAATATGTATTCATAAAGAAAAAACTCACATTGAACTGTATAAAAGCAAAAATCACAAGGGCTTTAAGGGTTGTAATGTGCCTTGGGTAACAAACAATTGTTTTTCTCAAGGTAAAAGAAACAAACACTTGCCTAATCAAATGAGAGTGATCATTTTTCACAATCTCAAGCACTCACAAATTTCAATCACCCTTTTCTCTTTTCCAAATAGTTACATCATTTCACACAACTTATTAGCATAACGTTATTCTAGTTTTTTGCTTCTTTTTTTCAAGTCTTTTCCCTTTTTTTTCTTTTACTTTTTTATTTTTTTTCTTTTCTTTCTTTTTCAAACTTTTTCTTTTTCTCAACCTCTTAGCAATCAACCTCTTCTCTCCAACTTGAATACAACCATACATAGTGACATGAATGCTCTCAAACTTATTAGGCAAGGGTAAAAAACTCAAATAATAAGTCATGGTTATAGTTCAAGAAAAAGTATCTGAATCCTTACAAAAATGAACTTAACACCAACATGGATTCTAACAAAGGCTCAAAGGGGGTAAGTAAATTCTCACTCACTCACAAGGAGATTGACTATTTGGTTAAGTGGGTATACTCAAAATTGAACAAAATGCCTTGATCATTTTAGTGCTATCATACAAATCAACACAAATACAAGATTAAACATAATAAAACCGAGTTAAACAAGAATGTTGGTCTCCTGCATATATTAAACAATGAAAAGACCTCACTCAAAGGTTTTGTTCTAAAGTGATTCAAAAATGAAAAAGTATGGAAAAAGAATGAATGACATGAAAATTGTACAAATGAAAAATCTCCTAATCATGCTATGTTCTAGAAAGCGATAAACGAGTAGCTTGCGAAGTACCAACTTCAAACAATATCAAAACCATACATTCGCAAGTTGAAATGATCAAACTTGGAAAATCATAAAATGTATGCTCAACCTAATAAAAAATAAACATGAGAGCAAACACAAACATTATTCTATCATACTAACAAAATTGAATTAAAACTAACTAAACACAAAGACCAAAATAGGTAAAAGTGGATGGAAAATGAAAGATTTGTCTTTGCAAAACAAGGCTCGCTAAACGACCTCTGCGCGCGCTAAGCGCCGGCAGGAAAACTTTGATTTTTATATTATTTTTCTCACACAATCCATCCATTTTCACTTTATATCAAC